ATCTTAAATACATAAAACAGTGCAAAATATGTAGATTTTAATAAATTTAAATATTTAAATGGAGAATGCTGTGATTTTGACATTTGTTCACCATTTAAATTATGAACTAAAATTGACAGTAGTTGTGGTTCAAAAAGTTCTGCAATTTAAATTGCTTCTCTAAAATGCCGTTCTCTAAACCGTTCTCCTATTCATAAGACGACGGTACAAAAAACTGTAAGGCGATTTGAGGAATCTGGAGAAGTAAAAGATAGATACCGATCAGGTTGACCGAAACGAGTTATCAATGACAACAAAACTTCAGATATAAGCAAAGTTTTGTTGAAGATCCACATACATCCCCAGGCAGGGTTGCACAAGTACATGATGTAGGTCATTCTTCAGTCTTACGTTTATTACGTAAAAATAAATTTAAATCATACAAAATTAACTTATTGCAAGAATTAAGTGAAGATGACTTTGGTCGTAGATTAGAGTTTACTGAGGTAATGATGGATAAAATTGAAAATTATTAAAATTTCGTTAACAGAATATGTTTTTCCGATGAAGCAACTTTTACACTGTGTGGAAGTGTAAATCGACACAATTTAAGGTACTGGTGTGACGTAAATTCACACTGAAGACTGAATGCGTGAAAACCATACTCAAAGACCACAAAAATTAAATGTATGGTCAGATATAGTAGTTACTTATTCAATTGGGTCATTTTTTGTCGAAAGAAATTTAACGTCAGATAGTTGGTGTAAATGTTCGGCGATATTTAGATGAGATATTTCCTGGACGATAAATTGGTAAACAAGGTAGAATTGAATGGCCTCCACGTTCACCCGATTTCAATCCTAAAGATTATTTTTATTAGGGATACTTGAAAAATTCAGTTTACAAAACTTAACCAGCAAGTCTTGCAGAGCTAAGGCAACGAATTATCAATGAATCTCGAATAATTTCTAGACAATCATGGAGAAATGTGGTAGACGCCTTCTACCATCGATTAGGGTGCTGTCAACTCACAAATTGAGCACATTTTGAACACTTAATAACGTAACTACTATGTTAAAAAATGTTCTAAACTATCAATTGTTACGTTTTAATGTATTTGAAAATAGTTAGTATTAAAAAATTTATTGAAACAATTTAGGCGTTGCCAGACTTCGGTTTTATGTATTTATGACCTTCCAGATTACATAAAATCATAAGTGTTACATATGGTTGAACTCGTATTGAATAGGAGATTCCAATAATGACTGAATATACAGGGTGATGTATTTGAAAAACCAAAGTTACTAATAATATAAGAAAAACGGCAAATCTGGCAACATTGTAAATATCAAATATGGAATCTCCGTATCCCAAAATAGGTGTACTTCAAATTTTGTACAATTATGATTAGCATTTTACGAGATAATTAGCCGTTTCCAGACTTTTGGGCCACTCTGTATATTAAACATTTTATGCATTTAGTATACTCAATTAGATTTTAACATTTTTTAACATTCTCGGTAGATTTTAATATTCAACTTTATTTGGAATTTTTTCATTATATTTATACCTAATTATTCAAATGTTTTAAATTAATGCACAAACTTACATTTTTAACATTATTGCAGAGAAAATTTTAAAAAATATGTTTTTATTGTTAATAAAAAATGTTACACATTTTAAAATTATTTTGAATTCTAAACATATTTTGTTTATATTTAAAACACTTCACTACACTTAAAAACTTGATATCTGATTGTAAGTGGTATAGATAGATCAGTATCTGTAACAGTTTGTATAAGAAAATAAAACAGCTTTTACTATATTTTTTACAATTCTATCATATTTTCTCGAGTTTAAGCAAAACGAAAATAGTAAATAGACGTGAAGTTTGTTAAACGTCACTTTATCCTTAAATCAACTACCACTGTAAAGGTGGAGTCGTATAAAACATTTTGTATACGAGTGTAATGGAACTATTTGTATAGGAAATTAAAACTGTTGCTTCTACTTTCTTACCTATAATTTTATCATATTTTTTCGGCTATTAGACCTTCGTGTCCAAAATCGCTTAGTTAGAGCTATTAACTTTTCATCTGTAATTTTTAAGTCATTAGTGCACGTCTTTGATATTGATAAATATTTAACAGCCAGAATTCAATATTTTTTTAATTTATATTCGTATGTGCCATACAGCCAGTCACAACATTCTAATATTTTTCTAAACAACAGACGGAAGATTGCTTAGCAGAATATAAAAATCTATTATACATTTTAAACTTAAGTAGCAATACAAATTTGGCACTCATTTTTCATGTTTGGTAGTATGGACACTATTTTCTCGTCTAGGGACCCATCAAGACCCATCATTGTTTTTTAAAACTAACTGGACTATAGTGTATTTTTATGTATGAGAGAGTAATAAAACAATAAATTATGTATGCAAATCCCTAAACTGTTGATACGGGTGACTCAATGAAAAACAGATATTTGTCAACAAGTTTACAGAAGTATATAGGAAAACAATTTTAAATTGAGTATGACCACCAGGTATAAAGGTTGGAGCAGAATAGAATACAATAGTTGTGAGGGTTACTAATCCCTAAATAAGGTTGCCAGTGTCGGAGTGATGGAGGTTAACAGGTACTAATGAATTTGCAAGAAATGTAAGATGTTTATTTTATTGGTTATATATAACCAATAAAAGTTTAATAAGTACCTACCTATTTGCAAAATAAAGTTTAATTCTTTAGATAAAATAAAACGTTTTATTTTATCTGAAATGAGTGCATTCCACGAAGTAAGGGTTTCAACAATCAAACATTTAATTCTTTAATTCCAGGAATCTACGACAGTAATTGACTAGATAATTACCTTCTAAACTTATTCCACAGAAAATGTGATAGTGGGTTTTTCCATTTTGTAGGAAGGTCCAAGTGGCGTATTCAAAATTCTTAACAGTTCACTAAAAGTAGGTACTTCAGTTGCAAGGTGCAGTTTATTGTGTATACTAGTGTTATGGAAAATTTGGAAGTGCCGTGTAAACGCCGAAAAATTGGTCCTTTAACAGTTAATGAAAAAACATTAATATTTAATTGTTTTAAATCATTTACAGACAAACGTTTATGTGAAAGTGTTGATGAGACCGTTGAGTTAGTTAGCAGTACACTTGGTGTTGGGAAATCTACGATTTACAGAGTTATTAAAGAAGAGAAATGTGGTAGTTTTCAAATGCCACGTAATGCTCCAGGGAAACCAAAATTTCAAATAGAATATCATTTTAAAGAAGGACTTCGACGGAAAGTGCATGAATTCTTCTTTAGACAAGAATTTCCAACATTGGATAAAGTTCTTGTCTCAGTTCGAGATGATAAGGATTACCCAGAAATGAGTCGAAGTACGTTATGGAAACTTTTAAAAGAAATAGGCTTCCGCTGGAAAAAGAATCCCAGAAAGTCTATTTTATTAGAAAGAAGCGATATTGTCATATGGAGAAGACATTTTCTAAGAACCATAAAGGAAATGAGAAACCAAAAAAGAAAAATATTTTATCTTGATGAAACATGGATCAACGAGGGTCATACACCAAATAAATTTTGGCAGGATGAAACTGTTACAAGTCAAAGGCACGCTTTTGTAAATAACTTATCTACTGGTTTAAACCCACCATCAGGAAAGGGACGCAGGCTGATAATAGTACACATTGGCAGTTCAGACGGTTTTGTTGAAGGTGGTTTATTAACTTTTGAATCAACTCGTACCGGTGACTACCATGAAGACATGAACGCTGATGTCTTTCAAGAATGGTTCGAACAAATGATAGATCTTCTTCCTAAGAACTGTGTAATAGTAATGGATAATGCAAGTTATCACTCCAGACTTATAGAAGGACTGCCCACAACCAAGTGGTTAAAAAAAGACTTGCAGAATTGGCTGAGTTCAAAAAATATTACGTACCATCCCGGATCTATAAGAAAGGAACTTTATTCGTTGTGTGCCCTTCATAAAGAAAAATTTAAAAAATACGAAATTGATGAAATTGCCAAAAATCGTGGAATGACAGTACTTAGATCCCCACCATATCATTGTGAATTAAACCCGATTGAACTGGTATGGGCACAGATAAAGAGTGAAGTTTCAAGAAAAAATACCACTTTTAAAATTCATGATGTTAAACAGTTGTTTTTGGAGGCCGTAAATAATGTAAAACCTGAAAACTGGGAAAAGGCAGTAAATCACACTATTAAAGAAGAGGAAAAAATGTGGAAGCTGGACAATATTACTGATAAAATGATCGAGCCAGTTATTATAAATCTTGGTTCTGAAAGTTCATCTTCTGAATCTGATTTGGATTTGTAACAAGTAGCTGTAAGTTTTATATTAATATTTTTATTCATCTATTTAACATACCTTAGACGGTTTTAAAAACTCTTTTTCTCTTTTGTAATTTTTAAAAATTAAAAAAAATGTGAATTTTTTAAAACCCTTTTTAATGTAGGCCAGTCAGTTCTAATATAGTGTGTGATAAAAGAGGTCACTTTTGTTTACATACACATAACACTTTATAACACTGAAATAATTCATTTATTTTTTACAATTATTCAAAGTAATTTTTCAATTAATCTTGAGCACGCCCATGGAGTGGTCGAAGGTACCAGTTAAAATTATGCTAATTACTCTCTCGTTCATAAAAATAAACTATAGTTTGCGGACAGAAGGTAACGATGAATGGAGTAAAACAGAGGTTAGGATTCTAATCCTACTTAAATATTTAGGTTTTTGCTGGTAAATAACATTTAAAAAATTTTATATTTATTAAATTGTTTATTTGGTGTTACCTCCTGCTTTTTATGTATTTTATTACATTCAAATTTAGATTGAATTCTCACAAATTCAACTCAGATTTTTTCTTCGACATATTTTTTAATGAGGCCAATCTGTAGAATATTCTTTTAAGTAGATGGTCCACATTTATTGATTCCTGTTATTTTTATTTTTCTTAGATCGCAAGACTAAAATAAAACATAAAACTAAAACATTTATTTAACTATTTACAATACAATTAGATCAAATAAATTGCATGACTAGTGAGACCACAATAATTATCATGTCTAGTTCTAGCTACTTTCATGTAGCCATTTTCTCCCCATAATGTGCCCCACGAATTTTTAATAAGCCAATAATCGACCCCGTTCTCTGTACCATAACCCACGAGAACCATTGCGTGGTTTACAGTTTCTGAACATTTTCGGTTATACCATACTCCTTCTGAGTAGAGCCTTAATCTACCGTCCACGTACATACCAATTAATACGGGCCCTGTTTCCTCCACGGCTTTTTTTAATCCTTCTGTCCCAGTTACATAGTGATAAGATTTAAAATCGATGTATGTTTTATTAGATGAAGGTTTACAAGCCATCTGTTTATCTTTATAGGGATATTCAGCTTCCGTACTTACACCATTTTTTTGTATGTAAGTAAGGGCGTCTTCTGGATGTCCTCCCGAACACGACTTCTTATAAAAACAATCGACGACATTTTGTTCGCTGAGGGATATTAGCTTTCCGGTTTTTCTGAAGTGGTAGCTCTCTAAAACGCCGACCTAAAAAAGTGTTACATAAGTTACATAATCTAGGGATAAACGGTTGTTACATTAAGTAATATTGTTTTTTTTTAGTCTTGAGCACAGTTATGTTAAACTGCATTCTCTTAACGATTTTTGTAAATTTTCTAGGATGTATAGGTGCGGTATTAAAAAAATATATTATTTTTAGCTATACAAGGTCGTTCTTAAGTAATTGTACGAAAAGAAACAGTCGATTCTTCACTTCTAAATATTACGATTTAAGCAGAATTGCTTTAATAAAATGTTGATATTAATGTAGATACAAAGTGTTAAAGTAAATATGTAATTTGTAAACATTTATGTACAAAAATTCACAACTGGATGTGGCATAAATTTGCACTTAACTTTTTTGCTCTTTAAGTTACCTGTATTCGTAACAAAAAATATTAAAGATACATTATTTTAACAAAAAAAAGGTATACCTGTGAATAACTTCAAAACTCCACAGTTTTCGAGATAATCGCATTTTAAAATTCAGCTGCATAATTCTGATTAAAGGCAATTACTCCAGGCAACGAAAAGACAAAAACATTAATACTTCTGAATTTTGGTATAAAATACTTTAACTAAAGTTAATAGTTAACGAAATATTAAATAAAATAAATATATCAGCAGGATAATTAATAATAGGATTTGACAAAATAACAGAATAATAGGATTTTACATAAACATTTTACGTTTTATGTTAAATTAAAATCATAATCAAAACATTTTGTTTACAAACCAAATTAAGAAAAAGTTAAACTAAATAACATAACTTTTTGTCAAAGTAAGTGCACGATATGTCCACCATTTTCTTTAATTTATTTGTCAATATATTCCATAAAAGATCGTCTCATATTAAATAGCATCATTGGTTCTAAAGAAACTGCTGCAGTATTTATTTCTTCCATAGTTGGTTGCGAATGTTTATGAGATTCTTATAGACACGTTGTTTTAATGCGCCCCATACACCAAAATCAAGCGGATTAAATTCTGGGCTACGTGGTGGCTATAATGTATAATGGATGAATATATTCTTTTGGATACATATCCAAATCTTATGGTATATTATGGAACTACATCTTATTTATCGCAGAGGTTAAATAATGTATTAAACTGTGATGTATCTCGTTCATTGGTTACTTATATACACACGAATAACTATCGATGACATTATTTATTTATATGATTACGTTACAGCTTACGAGTAACTATAATTACATCTCAACAAATGGACTATTATGATTTACTAATGAACTAATATTATGCTGAACTAAATTGCCTGTGTGTTTACTATATTTCTATGGGTGGTGGGAATAAGCACATAAGTCAAAAAATGAAAAAAAAAAATTTAAGTCATATTCTTATTGTACCTATGCCTTCCCGTGGTTGTGTAAAATGATATAAGTCAAAAACTTATTATATCTCTATGAAAAGTAACTGTGAAAATCAATATAAGTCAAACTGAACTAATAATGATAGTGTATAATCACATAAGTCGACTTATGTGTTCTTACGCCTACATCAATTTGTTGTGAATAAACACATAAGTCTGACTTATGTGTATTTACTAATCTCAATGATTTGTCAGTCGCTACGTATTAGTGGTTTGTGGTCAGTCGTTATTCTGATAACAAGTATGAGTCGACGAAGTAAAAATATTTTACAGCTCGCGTTAGAGCAGGCGAACATATTGGCCGATGGTAAGTAAATAAATATCTTATAGAAACGTATTATAGATAAATTTTAAACATCTTTAACAAGTAAATTTATTTAACCTTTTCGGTACGGCACCGGTTTACTACAATGTGACCGGCTGGAAAGAGCGCGAAAAGATCTCGAAAATACATATACATAAAAAAGTAATGATTTCGCATGTAACGCGATATCGTTGACACAGTAGAAGGCGGTAATGCTATCTATCAGTAATAAAACTTGTTTTAGGAAGTAATTTTATCCGTTAATGAATCATTTACTTGCATTTATAATAATTCGAGGTACCTAAACAAGTCTTCTTTTCTTCTACAGTCATTTCCCGCCGCGAAAAGGTTAAATTTAGATAAGTAGCTATTAATCCTGTATACACATGCAGATACCTTCGAAAATATAAAAATAAGATATGATTACTCTGGGATAGAAAACAATAGATTTATTTTGTTTTAGGAGAGTTAGAGTGCAATATACACAGTGATGATTCGGATCGTGATCCGACATATACACCAAACAGTGATAGTGATAACATTCCCCGCACTCTTCAGCTTGCTCTAGATGTCGCAGCGGGGTCGACGGAGTATAATGATGAAAATGCGAAGGCGGGGCCGTCTTCACCAGTATTAATAAGAAAGCGTGGAAATAAAAGTGATTCGAGAAAAATCCGTCGCGACAGAACGGAAAAACGAAATGCAGGTCTTGCGTACTGTACTCGGCGAGGAAAGCTCCGCAGCGAAAGAAAAATGTTGCCTTTAGGACTATGCAGAAGACTATGCCAAGCCAAATTTTTAGATGAAAAAAGACGTACCCTTTTTAATGAGTATTGGAATTTAAAATCCTATAACAAACGAGCTGCATATATTGGATCATTAATAAATATCGAGAATAAGGCTGTAAGTAGACCCAGAATGGAAGATCCTAATCGTCAAAAATTTAGACAAAAAACATACAAATATTTTTTTGAACTTGATGGACAGCGTTTGCAAACATGTAAAGGTTGCTTCCTTAAAACATTTGGCGAGACCGATAATTTTATAAATTTGATTGGTGTAAAGAAAGCTACTTCCGTTGGTGGATTTGTCGCTGATGACAGCAGGGGGCGTGCATCCCCACCTTCCAAATTTTCAAAGGAAATATTAGATAATGTGCGTCAACATCTATTATCATTTCCAGCATACGAAAGTCACTATACAAGAAGAGAAAATAATAAAAAATATTTAGCATCCCACTTGACTATGAAACTAATGTACGATCTCTACAAAGATATCTATAAAGATGGGGTATCAATACGCTATTATAGACAAGAATTTCACCATTTAAACTTAGCCATTAAAAAGAGAAAATTAGATACATGCGACGAATGCGATAAATTTAAATTGAAACTGGACCTTGCTGAGAATGATGAGGCTAAAACTGAAATTATAGGTCAAAGGGACTATCACTTATTTTTGGCAGATGAGAATTACAAACAAAAACAAAAAGATAAAAAACTAGCAAAAGCCAATGAAGCTATTAGCTGCTTGACGATGGATTTACAACAGTGCCTTGCTACTCCATTTTTAACTAATTCCATTTCATTCTATAAGCGTCAGCTATGGACGTATAATTTAACGATCCATGATAGTACAACAGGTAAGTCATTTTGCTACATGTGGTACGAGACTATCGCAGCTCGAGGAGCCAACGAAATTGCGTCTTGTCTTTACAAGCATATTCAAACCTTACCCCCTATTATTAAAAAAGTAATAATATACTCAGATTCTTGTGGGGGGCAGAATAAAAATTCATTTGTGACTGCGATGTTAATGTTAGCGTTACAAAAGTTCCAAAACCTTGAAGTTATAGAACACAAATTTATGGTTTCTGGGCATTCCCATATGGAAGTGGATGGTGACCACGCTATCATAGAAAGAAAAAAGAAAACAACCAATACTTTAATCAGCCATCCTTATGATTGGTATCAGTTGGTTCGCTCTTGCGGACCAAGGTTTACCGTTGTCGAAATGACCCAGACCGACTTCTTAAAATTCTCAGCTATGTTAAAAGGCCCACTTGTAAAAAGAAAGAAGGATGTAGCAAAGAATGACTTTAAGTGGCAACCTGTACGATGTTTTCAGTACACTAAAAATTTTGGCGAAATCAATTTTAAATGTAGCTTAGACGAATATGAACCATACCAACAAGTATCATTTTTACGCATTAACGCAGCACAAAAATGGCTAGATGAAGGAAGTAATGTTCCACATATTACAAACATGCCATTGCCAATTTCCGAAGAAAAGAAAAGGGATCTCTTGGCACTACTTGACTACATTCCACCTGTTTTTCATGATTTTTATAGACAATTGCCGTCTTCTTCAAAGTCAACATCTACCGATCCCGATGTAGAAGAATTTGATGAAGATGGTAACAACTGATGTGTGTAAATACCTTTTATCATAAATAATAAACTTTCTGTAAAATGAATTGTTAATTTGATGATTTTGTTCTTCACTACTTTAGAATATTACATTACTTTTGGTTATTTGTTATATTTTATTTATTGTGAAAAAACACATGTCACTTTGTTATACTTATTGTTGGTGACAAATGGAATAAGTCAATCAAAACTCAGGAAAAAATGTATATTTGTAATGGATTTTCTACAAGACATATGTAATACATTAAATCACGGTTAGTTATAAAATTTTATTAACGGGTGCTTCATAATGTAGGAATCAATCAGTTTTTACGTTCTCCTGAAAACTTGCCATTTTTGACTTATGTGTTTATTCGCACCACCCATAGATTTATAACAATATCGGTTATTGGGCCAAAGATAATGTTTTGGGTAATGAAAAACCCTGAAAACCGACACATCAAATAAAAGTCGAATACAGCCCATCCAGATAGATACATGGAAAGATCATTACGCAAGGGAACTGAATGAAGACAGAGATATTTATAATACTGACTCACCTCAACGAATACGAGTACAAGGTGAATATGTAAACGTGGAAGAAGAACAAATACAACAAGCGCTTAAATCGATGAAGAATAACAAAGCATCCGGGCCGGAGAACATACCAGCAGAACTTCTAAAAAACGGAACACCAAAACTAATAAGCTATCTTAAAGTGCTATTCACAAGATACTTAAATGGGAAAGAAATCCCGAATAGTTGGAAAGAAGCATGGATTACTCCAATTCACAAAAAAGGTCCAAAAGATATTTGCGGAAACTACAGATGTATCTCTGTCACCAGTACCTTTAGCAGGCTGTTTGGTAAAATCTTAAAAAACATG